ATGTGAGATTTTGAGAACGATATGATTGGCATAAGATTTCACAATAAATCAAATATAAAAGTGTGGCATTGAAAAACTTAATAAAAAGATGGTTACACCAAGGAATTGCATATTTTGGAGTTTTCAAAATCTACTAGCAAAATGGACTGCCAAAAAGCACTCGACAATCGAAAGTCAGTGGTCATGTATAATTTTTTAATTTTATTGTGCATGTTAAAGTCCTATGAATTATTATCAGAGGTTCTTGTATACAAATATATCTTTATTGTCGAGCCTGCAACTTTTGTCGCAAAAGCGAGACATAGCGATCCTACATTCCGTCGTCGTCGGCGGCGTCCACAAATATTCACTCTGTGGTTTTTGAAAATTTAATAACTTTCCTAAACTATCATCCTGCATTTCAACCAAACTTGGACAGAAGCTTGTTTATGATCATAAGATAGTATCCAGAAGTACATTTTGTAAAAAAAAAATCCTGTTTATCAGTATTTTACTCATAAATGGACTTAGTTTTTCTGCCAGTTAACATTACATTCACTCACAGGCACTTGTCTCAGAATCCCCCCCCCCCCCCTATATACCTTATAATATAACACATACTTCGGTAGGCCTGCTATAGATCATTCTGACAACAAAGGTAGGCGTGTTATACACCATTGTGTAGAAAAATCAATTTAGATCTACGACATAACAAGTTTTAGTGGGATTGACAACTGAGAAATCCGCATACAACGGAATTTCGCGACCGGCTGACATTTTTCAAAAATGCGAGTTAAGTACCTTGTGTTATATTAAAGGAATTTTTTTTCTGAGACAAGTGCCTGTGCGTTCATTCTGTGGTTAAAGTTTTTCAAATTTTAATAACTTTCTTAAACTATCCTATATTTGTACTAAACTGACTTGGACAGAAGCTTGTTTATAATAATAAGATAGTATCCAGAAGAAAATTTTGTAAAAAAAAATCCTGTTTATCTGTATTTTACTCATATATGGACTTAGTTTTTCTGCCATTTAACATAACATTCACTCTGTGGTTAAAGTTTTCCAATTTTAATAACTTTCTTAAACTATCCTGGATTTGTACCAAACTTGGACAGAAGCTTGTTTATGATCAAAAGCTAGTATCTAGAAGGAAATTTTGTAACAATTTATTTCCTGTTTTTCCGTATATTACTTATAAATGGACTTGGCTTTATTCCAGTTAACATTACGTACAATCTGCAGTTAAAGTTTTTAAAACATTTATTAGATTCATAAACCTTCTTGGATTTCTACCAAACTTGAACAGAACTTCTTACAATCAAAAGATAGTATCTTAGAGGAAAATTTTTAATAATTGTTTCCCCATTTTTGTTGAGCCTGCGACTAACAGCAAAAGTAGGCGAGACACTGAGTTCCGCGGAACCCTTACAAATTTTTCCGAATTATAGGGCCCACAAATATATCTATAGCATTTCAATTAATATATGAATCACAAAGAAGACAAACAATAATAATAAACTATAAACCTTAAAATTTAATTATTAATTAGTAATGATTTTAAATTTCACAAAACACATCAAATACACAATTAATAGGAGGAAGAGATAGCTTAAGTTGTATGAAGAGAAATAACTCAAGTTTATTTATCTTAACAGAAATCACACTGTATTTCTACATTCTAACCATATTCATTAATATACAGTAACAGTTAACAAATATATATTTTTATATATATATTTTTTTATTAGTCATCATCCAAATTACTACTAGTGTATCCTGGAGGTTTAGATTGAACAAATAGGAAAATGTTGTTCAAGAATAATTTGTCTTGTTACATCATAAGGAGAACATGTGAACATAAAATGGATTTCATCTTGTGACAAGAAATTTGGTTATCTCCCTTTGAACAATAACTTATTAAGACATTCGCCTGTCATACAAGTGAGAGGTTTAGGTCACTATAAAACCAGGTTTAGTCCACCATTAGGGAAATGCCTGTACCAAGTCAGGAATATGACAGTTGTTTTCAATTCATTTGATGTGTGATTTTAAAACAAATTTCAGAACGTTTTTCGCCGATTTTATGTGCTTTCTTTACAAATGTTCACCTATTTTGAAAGAATTCACTCAGTAATGTTTCATTAATGCATTATTTTTTTCCATTTTCAGTTATAGTTCAACGAGCCAAAGATGTATGTAAAATTTTACCAAAGTCTGTGACATCGTTACGAAAACTGAACATTGCGTGAACCATAATAAAATGCTTCGCCGAGCGCAGCTGGATACAACCGCAGAGGTCCAACCCTGAACAGTTGGGGCAAAAATGGACACAATATTCGTTCTAGATACAGGTCTGAATTTGGATTGAAATTAAATGTTTGACACATAATAGGTTTCTGACACAGAATAACTGTAGTCAAAGAACTTAGAATTGGTTATATTCAATGTTTTGCTTTTGTGCAATACACTATGCTGTTGCGAATTGACCCCCCACCCCCCCAAAAAAAAATCACCCCCTTTTTTTTTGGCAAAACATTTTTTTACACCCCACCCCTTTTTTTTTACAAAAAAAACAATTGTTGAAGAAATTTTCTTTTTAATTTCTGAAATCTGTAATGAGAAAAAAATTTCCCCCTAACAATTTCTTTTTAATCCCCCCCCCATTTTTTTCACCTCCCCCCTCACCTTTTTAAAAAAAAAAAAAATCTTTCCCTCAAGATATGGTCATTATCTCAATTCAAATTTCCAATGGAGTTCTATGTCTAAAAATAATATATCTTTAATCAGCATTTTTATTAGTAACTTCTGAAAATAAATTGACAGCTAATCACCTCAAGACAATACAAAATTTCTTTATACATAATTTTAAAGCAGTGTAAGGGAGGTAATCCAAATTTAACATTGTGCTTAAAAGTGATTGTCCATTAACAAGGCAACCCTTGTTTTTTCCCCCTAATTCCTATACGGTTTGAGCCATTACCCCAAAGCCAATTCTAACCATCCCTTTGTGGTATGGAAACTTGTTGTACAATTTCAGAGAGATCCATACACCATTCCACAAGTTATTGTCTGAAAACTAGAAAAATGCTTATTTGGGCCCCTTTTTGGCCCCTAATTTCTTAAACTGTTAGGACCATTACCCCCAAAATCAATCCCAACCTTCCTTTTGTGGTTATAAACCTTGTGTTTAAATTTCATAGATTTCTATTAACTAATACAAAAGTTATTGTCTGGAAACCAAGTGTCGTCGGACGACAACGAAGAGGACGACATGATACCAATATACGACCGCAAAATTTTTTTGCAGTCGTATAAAAATGAGGTCAAGGTCAGATAAACCCTGCCAGACAACATGCACACCAGGAAATCATTCCTTACACAAAATATAGTTGACCTATACCTTATAGTATCTGAGAAACTTAATATTGACCAATGAACCATGAAAATGATGTAAAGGTCAGATGAACACTGCAAGACAGACATGATCAGGCATGCACATCTTACAATCATTCCAAACACCAAATATAGTTGATCTTTCGCCTATAGTATCTGTGATACTGATTGAAATAAGCATGAAAACTCTGATTCATGAAATAATGTTGAGGTCAGGTGAACCCTGTCCAACAGACATGTAGACCTAGCAAGGATCCCATATACCAAATAAAGCCATCCTATTACTCTTAATAAGTGAGTTTTCACATTACAAAAAAAAATACATTTTTTAAGCAGTCACTGAACCATAAAAATGAGGTCAAGGACAATAAACATTTGAAAGAAGGAAACTTTGTAACATAAAGCATCTGCATACAAGGTATAAAGCATCCAGGCCTAGGTCTTCTACCTTTTGTAACATAAAGCTTTATATAAGTAGTTTACACTGCCAATGCTGTCATATAGTAATCCATGTCTTGCATACTGCGTCTTTCACCACAGGCGAGACAATATAATGAATCTTGTCCCGGTTCTCACTTGGTATACATTTATACCATCAGAAGGAGATGCAAATTTTGTTATCAGTGGTTCTTTTAGATTTCAAAGAGAACATAACAATAGAATCTTCTTTCGCCAACTTAAATAATGTGAATATATATGTTTACACATCAATGTTTTAAGCCCACGTTTCCCAATGTAAGATTTTTGTGTGAGGAAATCAAGACATGTATTTCATTAACTGAAGCCTACACGTAGTTGTACATTTCCGTTGATGACATATTTACATGCATTTGAAAGTATTGGAAAAGACTAGTACAAATTTTCAATGTTTCATGTATCAATCAGGAGCCTACCTAAGGAAATGATTTTCCTGTTTAACATTTTGCAAGACCAGCGAAGTCAAAATGAATAAGGAACCACCTGCTGGATATCTGATAAAACAGCTATATTAATGATCTTTTTGCAAATACCAAGAATATGTTTACAGAACTGAAATCAAGTTAGCAGTTTTCTTTTCCAAGGAAATAGGACCATTTCAGAACAATATTTGTAGAGGTAGAACTAAACCAATTAAAGTTTCATTGTGCAACTCTGTATTTAAATCAAGGATCCTTATTTGGAACAAGCAATATTCTTTATCTATACTTGCATATCCAGCAGAAAGGGTTTAAATACACAGTTCTTTAAAATATGGATCAGTAATTTAATATTTATACAATAAAATGCTCCTCAGGGCGCAGCTTGATACGACCGCAGAGGTCGAACCCTGAACAGTTGGGGCAAGTATGGACACAACATTCAAGCTTGATACAGCTCTGAATTTGGATTGTGATTAAATATTTGACACAGCATAGGTTTCTGACACAGAATGAATGTGGTCTAAGAACTTAAAAATTTTAAATTGGACATTCACCTATTATGGTCCAATATCCAAAATCTAAATACATGGTTAGATTTAGCATATCAAAGAACCCCAAGAATTCAATTTTTTATGAAATCAAACAAAGTTTAATTTTGGACCCTTTTGACCTCAATGTGGAAAAAGTTGATAACGGGGCCCATAAATCAAAAATCTAAATACATGGTTAGATTCAGCACATCAAAGAACCCCATATATTCAATTTTTGTTGAAATCAAACAAAGTTTAATTTGGGACCCCGATTTGGACCAACTTGAAAACTGGGCCCATAATCAAAAATCTAAATACATGTTTAGATTCAGCATATCAAAGAACCCTAAAAATTCAATTTTTGTTAAAATCAAACTAAGTTTAATTTTGGACCCTTTGGACCTTAATGTAGACCAATTTGAAAACAGAACCAAAAATTAAGAATCTAAATACACGGTTAGATTCGGCATATCAAAGAACCCCAATAATTCAATTTTTGATGAAATCAAACAAAGTTAAATTTTGGACCCTTTGGACCTCATTGTGGACCAATTTAAAAACGGGGCCCAAAATCCAAAAACTAAATACACGGTTAGATTCAGCATATTAAAGAACCCCAAGAATTCAAGAATAAAACCCCATTGAAATTGATCAAGAAATAAGCAATTTATGCGAAGTATCTTCTTTTGCACAATACTGTGCAATTGAATATTTCTTGCTATTGCGCAATACTGTACAATTGACAATTTCTTGCTATTGCGCAATATTGTGCCATTGGATATTTCTTGCTATTGCGCAATATTGTGCAATTGAATATTTCTTGCTATTGCGCAATACTGTACAATTGACAATTTCTTGCTATTGTGCAATATTGTGCTATTGGATATTTCTTGCTATTGCACAATACTGTGCAATTGAAGATTTCTTGCTATTGCGCAATACTGTGCAATTGAAGATTTCTTGCTATTGTGCAATACTGTGCAATTGAAAATTTCTTGCTATTGCACAATACTTATTATATAATAATTTACACATCCTGTTTGGTGTGTATCTCCTACCATATCATTATTATTTGCTTTTAAATATAAATCAGAAATAACCAACTTAAAATGGAAAATTTTAAAAGAAAAAAAAAAGGAAAAAAAGAAAAAAAAAAAAAAAAAAAAAATCCCCCCCCAAATTTTTTGAACCCCCTTATGATTCATCACCCCTAAACTCAATCCAAGCCTTCCCTTTGTGGTATGGTACCTTGCAGTACAATTTCAGAGAGATCCATACACTTGAACACAAGTTATTGTCTGGAAACTAGAAAAATGCTTATTTTTTGCCCCTTTTTGGCCCCCAATTCCTAAACGTTTCAGGCAATTACCCCCAAACTCAATTCCAGCTTTCCCTTTGGGATATGGAACCTTGTAGTACAATTTCAGAAATATCCAAACACTTACACACAAGTTATTGTCCTGAAACTAGAAAAATGCTTGTTTTTTGCCCCTTTTTTGGCCCCTAATTCCTAAAATTTTGAGGCAATTACCCCCAAAATCAATTACAGCCTTCCCTTTGTGATATGTCATTGGGTCTCTGGTGGAGAGTTGTCTCATTGGCAATTATACCACATTTTATTTTTACATTTCCGTTGATGACATATTGAATAGAAATTAGAATGGAAACGGGGAATGTGAGACAACAACCCGACCAAAGAGCAGCAAGAAAATCTCCGCCCGGAGGCAGGCTTCAGCTGGCCCATAAACAATAAAGCATACTAGAAATTGTCTTGATTTCCTCACACAAAAATCTTACATTGGGAAACGTGGGTTTAAAACATTGATGTGTAAACATATATATTCACATTATTTAAGTTGGCGAAAGAAGATTCTATTGTTAGGAGGACAAACTTACGTCTGATGTTATTTTGGAGATGAATTTCCAGTCATGATGAAGATCATGGAACTTCTAAGGAGATGAAACCAACCTGGAAACAAACTTATTTGTTAGCTTCATTGCTTTGATACTGTTTCATGTTCGTCCTGGCTACAATAGTTTTACCCCTTGCACATCTCAATATATGGTGTACATCTAGCCTTCGTTAGTCTTGTGTGTTTATTTTATTTTGGTTCATTTGTATGTTTCGGAGTTTAGTGTGGAGTCCATTTGGCTGAACTAGTATGCTTTATTGTTTATGGGCCAGCTGAAGCCTGCCTCCGGGGGGAGATTTTCTTGCTGCTCTTTGGTCGGGTTGTTGTCTCACATTCCCCGTTTCCATTCTAATTTCTATTCTATTCCATTACATAACAATTCATTGAAATTCATTACCATGCTTTAAACAAAACTTATTATGACGGAGAGTTGATTCTTATACCCATCCCACTTCAAAATTGTGTTTGCATGGATATAATAAAATGCTTCGCAGAGCGCAGCCTGATACGACCGCAGAGGTCGAACCTTGACCAGTTGGGGCAAGTTTGGACACAATATTCAAGCTTGATACTGTCTGAATTTGGATTGTGATCAAATTTTTGACATAATATAGGTTTCTGACACAAAATAAATGTGGTCAAAGAGCTTAAAAATTTGAAATGGGACATTCATTTTACCTAGAATGGTCTGATATCCAAAATCTAACAACATGGTTAGATTCAGCATATAAAAAAACACCCAAAAAATTTAATTTTAGTTGAAATCAATCAAAAGTTTAATTTTGGACCCTTCAAACCTTAATATGGACTAATTTGAAAACAGGGCCCAAAATAAAAAATCTAAATACACAATAAGATTCAGCATATCATACAGCTGCAATCATTCAGTTTTTGATGAAATCAAGCAAAGTTTGATTTTGACCCTTTTGACCTCAATGTAGACCAATTTAAAAATGGGGCCCAATATCCAAAAAAGTAATACAAGGTAAGAACCCCCAAAAATTAAAGACTTTAAATGAATCCCATTGAAATTGGTTAAAAGATTTGTATTTATTTTCAATTGAAGATTTCTTGCTATTGCACAATACTGTGCCATTGAAGATTTCTTGCTATTGCGCAATACTGTGTAATTGAAGATTTCTTGCTATTGCGCAATACTGTGCTATTGTGCAATACTGTGCTATTGCGCAATACTGTGTTGTTGCGCAATACTGTGCAATTAAAGATTTCTTGCTTTTTCGCAATACTATGCAATTGAAGATTTCTTGCTATTGCCCAATACTGTGAAATTGCGCAATACTGTGCAATTGGAGATTTCTTGTTATTGCGCAATACTGTGCAATTGAAGATTACAAAAACTTTGAAGAAAAAAAATATGAACCCCAAAAAATTGGGGAAAAAAATCCCCCCCCCCCCCTTTTCGCACCCCCCCCCCCCCCCCCCCAAGTACAATTTTAGAGAGATCCATACACTTACACACAAGTTATTGTCTGGAAACTAGAAAAAATGCAATGAAGTTTATTAAACTAAAGTTATTGGCAAATTTCCAATGAAATTTATTAAAAATAAAGTTTTTGGCAAATTTCCAATGAAGTTCATTAAACTAAAGTTATTGGCAAATTTCCAATGGAATTTATTAATAATAAAGTTTTTGGCAAATTTCCAATATACATAATTTAAAAGCAGTTTAGGTGAGATAAACAAAAAAGCTCCATCAGCAACATTTTATATTGGCAAATTTCCAATGAAGTTCATTAAACTAAAGTACTTGGCAAATTTCCAATGGAATTTATTAATAATAAAGTTTTTGGCAAATTTCCAATAAACATAATTTAAAAGCAGTTTAGGTGAGATATTCAAATGAGTTTCAATTACCAACCTTAACTGCCTTTTAAATTATGTTTTGTACTTAAGTATTCAAACAAAGTTAAATTTTGGACCCTTTGGACCTCAATGTGGACCAATTTAAAAACGGGGCCCAAAATCCAAAAACTTAATACACGGTAAGATTCAGCATATTAAAGAACCCCAAGAATTCAAGAATAAAACCCCATTGAAATTGATCAAGAAATAAGCAATTTATACGAAGTATCTTCTTTTGCACAATACTGTGCAATTGAATATTTCTTGCTATTGCGCAATACTGTACAATTGACAATTTCTTGCTATTGCGCAATATTGTACTATTGGATATTTCTTGCTATTGCGCAATACTGTGCAATTGAAGATTTCTTGCTATTGCGCAATACTGTGCAATTGAAGATTTCTTGCTATTGTGCAATACTGTGGAATTGAAAATTTCTTGCTATTGCACAATACTTATTATATAATAATTTACACATCCTGTTTGGTGTGTATCTCCTACCATATCATTATTATTTGCTTTTAAATATAAATCAGAAATTACCAACTTAAAATGGAAAATTTTAAAAGAAAAAAAAAAAATCCCCCTCCCAAATTTTTTGAACCCCCTTATGATTCATCACCCCTAAACTCAATCCAAGCCTTCCCTTTGTGGTATGGTACCTTGCAGTACAATTTCAGAGAGATCCATACACTTGAACACAAGTTATTGTCTGGAAACTAGAAAAATGCTTATTTTTGGCCCCTTTTTGGCCCCCAATTCCTAAACGTATAGGGCATTTACCCCCAAACTCAATTCCAGCTTTCCCTTTGTGATATGGAACCTTGTAGTACAATTTCAGAAATATCCAAACACTTACACACAAGTTATTGTCAAGAAACTAGAAAAATGCTTGTTTTTTGCCCCTTTTTTGGCCCCTAATTCCTAAAATTTTGAGGCAATTACCCCCATAATCAATTACAGCCTTCCCTTTGTGATATGGAACCTTGTGGTACAATGTCAGAGAGATCCATACACTTACACACAAGTTATTGTCTGAAAGTTACAAAAATGCTTATTTTTGGCCCCTTTTTGGCCCCTAATTCCTTAACTGTTGGTACCATAACCCCCAAAATCAATCCCAACCTTCCTTTCGTGGTATTGAACCTTATGGTAAAATTTCATGGAGATCCATTTACTTAAACTAAAGTTAGAGTGCGAAAACCAATGTGTCTTCGGACGACGCCGGCGACGCCAACGTCATACCAATATACGACCAAAAAATTTTCAATTTTTGCGGTCGTATAAAAATATCAGTTTAAAAAAAAATCTATGAAATTATGAATAATTATGAACTAGACCTACAGTTCAACAATAAAGACTCAACTCACTATACAAAATTCAATTCTGGAAAACAAAATTAACAAGCCTTAGCCACAGTTGGTTTTCTTTAATAAATCAATTATTACAATTTATTTCTGAAATATTCTCTATTCGATGTTATATTCCCTGTGGGAAAATATTAAATTTTCATACAACACTCCACACAATTTATTGATGAATCATGTTTACACATCTTCTATTGGTGGTTTGCCCTCTCCTTTGTTATAGTCTCTACCACTTTTCAAGTACTGTAAAAATAAAACAGATATAAGATGAGGATTCAATACAAATAAGATTTTGTTGTAATGATATAATTCATTTAAGTTACATATAGCTGAACAAAACCCAGGCTGATTCATTAGTGTTCTTTATTGCCTTGGTTAATTGGATCATATATTCAGAAAAATGAAACAAGGAATTTGACCGGTTCTGCCACCTTTGTACTGTGTGATAAAGGGAGTTGTCTGTTTGCATAACTAATATCATTTGTGCCAAAAAGTAAGTATACAAATGCATCATTTTTTTAGATAATTATGAAAAGATTTCAGAACTTTCATCTTTTTTCTTAAATCAAAGAGCTTGATCACTCTGAGGGATACGATCGCCATTGTTTCCATTGATATTAGTATTCTTTCTAAAAAATAATTCAACTGCACATGTATTCCCTATTTAATTCAATAGGAATATAGTTTTTCACTTTAAAAAATAGCCAAAAATAACTAAAAGTTAACAGTGAAAAAAAACCCAACCAAGTCAATAACTAGTAATACAAAGACAAATGCAATTTTTTTCTTCTAAATTTTGCTGTGGACACTGTCTTTTGATTATTACAATAAAATTGAAAATGGAAATGGGGAATGTGTCAAAGAGACAACAACCTGACCAAAGAGCAGAAAACAGCCGAAGGCCACCAATGGGTCTTCGACACATCGAGAAAATCTTCTATTCCATGAAATTTTAACAGATTTTAACCCTTGACTTGAATGGAATAGTCTATCAACAAGTATACCCCTGACTTGAATGGGATAGTCTATCCACAGGTAATCTTTTGATTGCATCAGTTCATTATTGATCTACCCCGATTTTTTAACAAAATAGAAATAATAGCAAATAAACACACCTGATGATTTCTTACATATTAAAACATGTTAAATGAATTTGACTTTTTTTCTTTAACTGCATTTTTCGAGTTAACAATGCAACAACAATAACCCTAAATAGCGAATAAAAACACAGAAAGGATCTCTTGAGTTGCAAATCAATCAATGGTGTGGGGAATACAGAGCAACCATTTATTCTGTTGCCTCTCAAGATCAAGGTCATGCGCTTAATTACATAAACAAACTGTTAGAATTATGTTTTGATTGAGGACAACACGTCAATTGTGGTTCTCCATTTCTTTATGGAAGTTTAATATCAAAGTTTCATAAAGGAACACCACCACTTCAGTACTTGTCTGACAGAAATATATTTCGGAACAACACTCCCATTTTAACAAAACAGCGGAATACCCACTCTGACATGTTGCTAAATATATGATATAGATACTGCTTAATACTGAAACAACAGGAAAGTTGTTTAAATTCAATCTGTTTGTTTGTTTTACTCTTTAAAACAGCACAATCTTAAGAATCTGAGTTTTTCCTTAATATAAACCACAAAACGGTTGACGTGAGAGCCTTGTTAAGGAGTCAATCCTAAAAGTCTACAGATTGCTTGACAGCAATCGTAATCCAAAAACAAGTGTCCTAGTGCAGTTTTTGTTCTCTGATTCTCCCAACAATAACCAAGTACTTGTTACCATCCCTAATCATGATGTATTATTTTTACAAGATTTCTTCTTAAGATTTAAATTAATCTAACCTACCAAATACTGTTTAAAGAATTATTAGAACTAATTTCTATTAAACTGGACAACAAATGAAAGGGAAAAGTTCATCTAAACATGTGTCCATCTCCTTTTCCACACCTCCACCAACCACAATATAACAATAAGGAGATGTGGTATGATTGTCAATTGCAATGAGATAATGATCCATTTAAAGTTCAAATGAAGTGGATGATTGTTTTGAATCCTATGTAAATTATCCAAATACTTACAAGATACTGTTTGAATCCCCATTGATTATTTGATGAACATTTTTCTCCTGCAGGTGAGAAGCTGTGTAAAAGAATATTAAAGAAGTTAGTCAACTTAGTGCAGTATGATCCATCACATATACTACATTATCTTTTTTTCTGTGCTACAATATTTCATTTTTATCAATAAAGTGATAAAATTTAGAGGGTTTACAATGTTGCTGTATGAAATCTATTAAGTAGAGCCACTGATTTTACAGTGTTGGAAAGCATTATTTCATGTAAGCAGTAACTGTTATTATTGCTATTTTCTTACATTTTGCTTTGATCTTTTTTTTGTGATAATTTTTCATATAACACTACTCAAGTTTTTCTCAGTCAAGAGAAAATAATGTATGATGTCATGAGCTAACGTCCTTGACACTGCCTAGGAACACATCGATAAACAGATTATCAATTGTCTTTTAAACTCAAGTATGTTTCTTTGCTACATCTCATCACAGGACTATTGCCTTCAATGGGATTGTAGCTGAGAAACTCCCTTTTGTTTGAAAAACCATCAATAATATAGATTATTTTTTGATACGGTAGCAGTAAATTTTAGTATTCTTTGATATGGTATGGTTCATTAATCCATAGTTTGTACTTGTGCATTTATTATCTATTATATAATTATGATAAGAGTCAAGTGATATTCCTGTACTAGTTTTGTATAATATGTTCTTTTATGTCCCTTTTGGTAGTTTACTTAAGATTTAAAAGGGGTAGGGGTTCGCTTTAAAATATTTAAGTTGCCACAAGTTCATAAGCATATCCCAAATCAGGATCTATATGTTTTTTTTACATTTGGGGAATTTCATGTAGGTGTCAAATCTTTGAAAGTCTCAGTTATGTCTGATACATGTACATTTATTAACAACTTTTTTAGTATAGAGTTTATACATTTATCTACTGTTGAAAACCTTATATTGACCTCTAAATGACATTTTGTTTTTTTTTTGTGTGGTAAGGTTGCCATTTCACTGACATATTTACGACATATCTTTTTATTTATAAAACAAATGCAAAAGGATCTTCCCTCCAACTCAGGTGTAAATCACAAGAACTTTGAACATTAAATTGATATCATGTAAACTTTTTCATTATGATCTGTAAAATTTATGGATATATCCTTTAACAGATAACAAATTTTTGAGGTTTAAAAGAAAGACTTCTACATGTACTGTACTCTTTGAGTTTAATAATGCCTATATACAACTCACAATGATTAGTAGTGTTGTATTAATTTAAAAACTTATATCCTTGAAAGGTAGACAATGCTAATAATCAATTATGTTTTCAATAATCCAAATAATTAAGAGTCAAATTATTTTATCAATTTGTACTTATAACTTTTATTGTGGTTAGATTTATTTTGATTTTATTATCATTCAAGACAATCTCATGTTAGTAATAGAGATATAATTGAGAAAGGAAATAAAGTTCCACTTTTATTTTTCATTTTTAGTTGTAGTTAAAAATATACAACAAAAATATTAGAATTAAATACAATTATAAATTATAAATCAATAAGGCTAAAAATAAAATTTAAATTGTTTGATGTTGCCTACCTATCCACCTAAAAAGCAGCCTACCGGTACTCGAAAAATTTTATGACACAAATCGTTTCAAATTTTTTTTAAAGGTGATTTCCTGCTCTAACGTTGTTTTTAAAAACATGTAACTTATGTTGTTGGGGACCTACCTACCCAACCCTACAAGGCATGGGTAAGCAACATCAAACAAGGAATTTTTTAAAGGGTGGCCTATTACATCTTCAGTTTTGAGCCAACTTACTATCAAATACATGTACATTCAATTTACTGCTCCATTATCTCATAATATCTTTTTTCCAGTATCTTGATTCAAAGCAATTCCTTAAAACGTTTCCTTCTGTGTTTTACTACTTGTACAATAGCTGTTTTAGTTTTTTTTCAAATTTAATATACCTAATTCCTTTAATACTTATCCCTTGATTTTTGTGTTCCTTATGATTACTTACTTGGTTTCTGGATTCATTATACAACTCCTCAATGTAAAATATATTCCAAGAAAAGCTGCAAAGGCATAACTTCCATACAAAGGTTTCAACTGAAAAAAAACACAAATAAACATATTACACTCACTAGAAAAATAACATTACATGTATATCAAGATTCTGCTGAAAAATATATAATTGCAGGTGTCAACTATCTGCTATCTACGTGATCATGTGTGTTAGACATATACATTTGTACCCTCATAATGGCCTCATATGTTAAGAAATTATGAAGGAAACCAATGAGCTTTAAAAAAAGTCACAGGTTATAACAATATATTATTCTTTCATAATGTCTATATTAATTACTGCCAATAAGTTTAGCACTTTTTAAGGAAGTAAAAACATTAAAAAGAAAACCGAAAAAAATTCTAGGGCTCTTAGATGTATCTATACTAGCTATCATATCTATGAAGACTCATAATGCTGCAAGTTATGAAGATTTACTGTACGCAAATCTAAATTACCAACTTTAAAAACAAGACCAATGAGATCATTGGCTACTGAAGTTTTCTAGATCCTTAATAAAGAATGTTCTGTTTATCTTCATAATTTAATTCCCATAAAAAAAACCATTCCTCTTTTAGGTACCAGAATACAGCAGAGCTGCACATGTCAGGACAACAGAATAAGGCCTACAATCTTTAAGGTCATTCAAAAGTTTAGCATAGGCGGATCCAGGGAGGGGGCCCTGGGGGGCCCGCCCCCTCCCCCCCCCCCCCCCCCCTATGTGGGAAAAATTTGGTTGATTATATAGGGAATCACTGAAGCATGACTGGAGCCCCCCCCCCCCCCCCCCCCCCTCCCTTAGGTCAGTCAGCAGGCCCCCCTTATGAAAAGTTCTGGATCCGCCACTGTTTAGTTCCAGCATTAAATGCATGCAAGACACAAAAATCATAGCGTTCGAGACGCGACGGCCATACTTCCACGTCGTCCATACCGACACATCGTCCATACCTTGTAAAGACATATCTTCCATACTTTAAGTGTTTTTCCCATTGTGGTAATAATAAAAGAGGGACGAAAGATACCAGAGGGACAGTCAAACTCATAGATCGAAAACAAACTGACAACGCCATGGCCAAAAATAAAAAGACAAACAGACAAATAATAGTACAGATGACACAACAAGGGTAAGCAGATCCTTAAATCATCAAAAAATAAACAATTAACAATCTTCTTAAATTTTAAAATTAATCATTAACTAATTACTTAGTTTAATATTTCAAACTAAACTTATTGTTTTAACTATGACAGAAATTAATCTCCCATTTTGGATATTCATTTTTATTTGTTTTATTTTTTAGTTTGTCTTATGCAAGATATTAAAAATCCATTTAGAAAGTTTGTATTATGCAAGATATTAAAAATCCATTTAGAAAATAATATAAATATTTTATTAGATAAATCACATTAATAGGGAAGGGGGTATATGTCAAATCGTGACATCACATTGAAAACATACTTGTCCGACCGGGTTTGGGTTATTAAAAAGAACTTACTGGTTTTCGGAAATTCTCTCTTTAATTTTCTTGCTTTGATTAGACAAGAAGGTTTCCTTTTAGGAACAGTTTTTGTTTATATCGCAGGGGAAAGGGTAGAAATGGGATTTACTGCAAAATATTTTACAGTCGCCAGCTGGGCGATCAAGACGATAAAATATATTCGCCCAGCCAAAAAATCTGGCGACTGGGCAAGCATTAAGTTTAGTCCCTGGTCTGACGCCAGAGGAAAAGTCACTGCTGTATGACGTCAAAGTTCAAGTGCACATATTCTCTGGTCAAGTCACAAGTGTCGCAGATATTCAAATACTGAAATAGCATGTCTATTAGTATTATGTATAAACTCTCGGTCTTGTTGAATGTGAGCATGTTGTGATATGTATGTAAAGTGTGACTTGTTTTTGTATTGTTGGTTTTAATAGATGTGTTGTTTGCAAAAATTATTGTCTTGTATGTAGACTATAAATAAAGCTGTTTAACTTGCCTATACTGTATAGCCCAGTATAGGACATATAGGTCATACCGAATAATGGTGAAGAACTCTCCTCTTGCTTAGGGAATGTATAAAGGTCCCTTTAGTATAATTTCCCCAGTTTCCTTCTCCAGCCACATGTGGATGTCTCGGACCACCACCTCCCATGTTGAGGGCAAAGTGGGATATATCTTTTTAGAGTTTGTTAATTCGTGAAGAACAATCTCCACCAGAGGACACAGGAAATTGTTTTGTAATCTCTACTACAGAAGAAAGAAAAGAAAGGAAGGAATAAAGTTTTGTCGAAAAAGTGACAATTTCATTATTTCTATATTAATTTTTACGATGATATTGCGATTAGTTTGTAACTTTAAATGTTTTCAGGAGTACAGACGTTTTATTCATGACTATATCAACATATTTCGGACCAATGACTGTTCGGCCTGTCTACCAAAGAGAAACGAATCAAAAATGCTTAAAGTTGATTTGGGAAAATTAATTTCCTTATTGTAATATTGAATAAACTTATTCGTGTGTAAATTATTTTATATTATATTTTGTCTTCGTTGGTAGAAACTTGGATTTATTGGTCGCATGCACATGGTCCCAAGTTGAAATTTGGAAGTCAGCAGGTACGAAATGTCAATGGTACGAAATAACCTTAGTTTTTTCTAAGTCATGAAAGTACTTTTTATAAAAGAAAACAGCCTTGTGGAATTACAAACCTTAAATACACTGATCACAGACGATCGAACCGAATTTCGATTGTTATTTTTACCGGTTTTCATAACTGCCAATATATAAATATCAAAAGCCAGTAGCATGGAGGAGACGTTGTCAGAAGATGTTGACCCAAGTGTCGAATTTCTATACAAAACAATGTGTATGTGCATTGGTCCAAACGATTCGCACCATCTAAGTTCTCTCATCTAAATTTATCCTGATCTTTAAACCCCCTATGACTATGTACAGGAACAATATTTTCATATGTGGAACAGGTGCTCTCTTTATATAACAATGCTGGCACTTTCTCCACCATTTGACAGTACATCTATATATATATAGCTAACCATATGAGTTCGATGCAAGATGTTTCAGCCATACTCCCAGTTCGGCCACCGTCATTTTGGCCATACTGCCAGTTCAGCCATATATTGGAGTCGTTTCGGCCATGGTTCTACTTGAGTACTTCTTGAAAATGGAGAAAATAAAGATGTTTATAGAAAGAGTCATTAAGAAACAAATGGCAAAATACATTTTAATTATACGTTTATATTAATATTGATGAAATGTGTATCAGTTTATGAATGTTATAAGAATAATGGTAAAATCAAGCCCTTGGTAAAATGGAGATAAAAATGAACTTATTAAGAAACTGAACAAGAAATGATAATTAATTTAAAAGTGAAGAAGATTGTTGTTCTTATCATGTAGTCATTAGTGTCCCTTGTTTCTCATACTCATTAGAAATAAGAAGATGTGGTATGAGACAACACTCCATCCAAGTCACAATGTGTAAAAAGTTAACAATTATAGGTCAAAATATGGCCTTTAACACAGAGCCTTAGCTCACACCGAACAGCAAGCTATAAAGAGCCCCAAAATGATTAATGTAAAACAATTCAAAACAGGAAAACCAACGATCTAATCTATATAAAAAACGAGAAACGAGAAGCACTTATGAACCACATCAACAAACAACAACCACTGAACAACAGGTTCCTGACTTAGAACAGGTGCAAACAAATGCAGCGGGTTTAAACATTTAATAGTGTGACATTATAACATAGAAAGACACACTATAAAATATCAATTGAAATGGCTTAACTCGATCAAAAAGACATATTAACAAAAAACAAGTAAACATACACTGAACGAATAAATTTGATCTATGACACAATATAAATACAATATTAATAAAAAAGGGGATGTAAAACAATGTCAAAAAGACAACTATAACCTGGGACAAAATAAGCAAAAATTGAATAATAAAAATGCATTACAAATTGTGTCAACATATCAAATTAACACCAAAGTACAATTTGAGAGTACTCGCAGTTACTGAAAGCCAGTTAAAAGCCCAATACAATTAATAATAAAAAATCATGCATCAGAGACTAAAATCATTTTAAACACATCCCAGTGATTTAGTGTTTTAATGCCATGGACAGTCAAAGAAGACATGACTTGTGCAATGCCAAAATAAAAGTATTGACAGGCAGTAGGATAGTTAGGATTTAACCTTATAATAAATATGTGTTATATATATAAATAAAGCAATCTCTATATAGAAAATAAACGTGGATGTGTATTTATACATCCCAAAAAAACATTTGAAAAGAATACAAATTTAGTTATGTTTGTGCCAATGTAAACAATATTCAGAGATCTTATTACAACATTAACAAGATAACCTTTGCTAATAAGTTTGTTTAAAGGTTTAATGAGTTTACACGGATTACATAGTGATTTCCACGCTTTTAATACAATATTACCTTACCGTAAAATTTAGGATGTGAGATACCGTTTTTAATAAGTTTTTTACAGGTACAGACAAATTTACTAATCAAATCTTTGTAAGTTTGTTATGGATGGCAAATTGATAATTTTCTATTCTCTTTTAAATGAATTTACAATAATAATTAAGCACCAAAGTCAAAGGGAAACGTTATTGATTAACGTGTGACATAAGAGTCTTGTGTCCTCTTGTTTCAGAGCAGATGCACACGCTATGACAATGAATTTTTGTTAAGTTCTTATCTTTTTTTCAAGACAATCTTCTGTCAAAAAAATTAATCCATGTACATGTATATATATGTTAAGAACAATATGAAAAAGTGTTGCTGCAAGGACTATGGCCGAACTGGTGTCGTGGCGAAACATCTCATCACAAAAGTTTGAGTTCCTCTGAATTCTAGACATTTTGGCACCTTAACAAGTCTGGCAACAGGACAATAGGACCTTTTATGGTTTTTACAGCTTCAGGCATACTAATTTTTCACCTTATGTTTACATTTTACCTTTATTTTGTAGTAGAAAGAGATCCAAAGAAGAGGAAAGTAAAACCAGTAGAAAAACATCTAATTCAAGTAGACTTTGGTTTAGATGACAGTGATGATGACAGTGATTTTGAAGTAGGAGACCATAAAGCAGGTGATTATTTAGGTGGTTTTTATTGTTTACAAATAAGGTATGGTTATAGTACACGCAATTCAATGAATAATCACTCTTGATTGTGATATTTCACAGTAATTGTTAGTGGGTGATTTACCCTAAGTATTCAATTGGTATCATATGATGATGTTACCCTTTTAAATCACCAGAAATCCCCCTCCTTTGCTGTATTTTTATGTTTTACCCTTCTTGAGTTATGTCCATTTATAAACATAAAAATTGCTGAATTTTTCGTTTCCGTTCTCTTACTTTAGTTTGTCTTAACCAAATGTTATAAAACTTATACACAACCGTTCTAGAGTTATGCGTGTTTACAAATAGAAAAATTGCTGAATTTTTAGTTTCTGTTCTCTACTTAAGTTAGCCTCAACCAAATGCTATGAGACTTACACACAATGCTTATTACCACAAAACTCAGATCAAGTTCAAATTTGGGTAGCGTCACTTTTACCGTTCTTCAGTTATGTCCCTTTATAACTATATGATATGCAAGCGGGAGCATCATCTGTGTCCACATGTGGACACTATCCACATTTATTTTGTTTTATTGTTAACTATATATAACATATCACTTATGGCAATGCCAATATAATAACATGATGTCTGATTGATTATGACTTAAATGTTAAACAGAATCACTGCTGTTTTGAAGGTCATGACAGCAATCATTTGAAGTAACTCAGCTCATCCTTCAGACTTATACTTATTAATTTCCTTGTCTTGATCTTCAAAACAATGAGTATTTTATATATACACTTGTTCAATATACATTTTTGTATTTTGAGAAAGTAATTTTTTTTTGTCATACTTAAATTAAAAATGTGCTTCAATTAATAAAAAAATTAAGTATGATTAAAATCTGATTGCTTATTGTTTCCCTTTATTGGAATAAAGTACATGTATGTTGTATGAATATCCAGAAATGACTTACCGGTCATGTTTAATTGTAATTTAAAATTGTTTGATTTGGAATCATGTATTTTTAAAGCTTCTTATAAACATTGGTAATTTTTCTGCTTTTACTATTAGAATTTATTATATTTGAACTGATTTTTCAATGCCAATTCATTCCAAGATTCAGAGGAATCTGATGGAGAAGGTGGAGAAAATGATAAAGATTCAGAAGCAGATAAAGATGATTATTCATCATCTCAGTCGTCAGACAGTGATAAAGAAGAATCTAAAATTGATGAAGAAGAGAATGATGATGCAGGAGATAATTCCATAGATTCAGATTATGTAAGAGTTTTGTTAACTATAAATATGATGTCTGTCAGTTTTATGAAAGTCAGACGATACTTTAGGTTCTTTTTGGTTTTATCAGCTTTTCTATTTTTCAATTAGGTATGGATTTTAAGACATTTTGGCCTCAAACATCATTAAAGAGACATTAGTTGTCAAAATGCACATCTGGTGCAGTAAAATTGGTACTGTTAACATTATTATTATCAGAAATTAGGGACCAAAAATATTTGCAGCCAAGAACCAGATTCATGTCTGCAAATTACAAAAGAAAAAATATATATAAAAATAAGGAAATGTGGTATGATTGCAAATGAGACAACTATCCATAGGCTAGTGAGCCTAACTTGGTACAAAATGTGATCTGGTTGTTTTGAATTGATTCTTTCTGATGAATGATTAACTATCTTTGGAAGCTTAAACAATAAAAATAATGAATTATGATTTCAATAATAGAAAATTGATGTATTGAGTCAAAGTTAAATTATTAGAACTCATATTTTTATTTTGGTCCTTTTTCTTTTGTGTTTATTTTTTGTAAAAGACAATATCATAGTAATACTACAAATATATATGAGAAAGACCACGAGCCTCAACTTTAACTTTAGATAAGCAGTTAATAATTTAAGGAGGTCAGTTTGTTTGCCTTCATGATCCTGAGGTTCAGTTCAGTATATAATTAAGTAGAGAATGAGACACTATTATGTGTAAGAGTAAAGTACTTTTTCTTGTAGGTACCAAATGCCAATTCAGCAAGACCAAAAAATTTGAAATTGACCATATGTTGTGTTTGCCTTGGGGACGTAAGGTAAAGAGTATGTTTATGCTTTTAATCATTAATTAAACTTAAATAAAGAGATACATACATTGTACATGTTGTATATTCATTGAGGTTGAAAAAAGTTAAAAGGGGCATTAGCTACGAGATATAAAAAAAATTAGAATATGATTTTTTTTTTGTTCAAAGACCTAGAAAAATCCAATTGCACATGGTATGTATCTATTTATATTTATATTTATGTTTATAGTGGGATATATGACCGTCAGCAGTCTTCGGAGGTTATCTCAATGGTTAATTAGATGACGTCTAGACAAAAATACACATGAAATGTTGATACATACTATCGAGTCCATGCATTATTAGTCGCCTACCGACGAAGTCGAAGGGGACTATAGGTTTGCACTCCTTCCGTCTATCTTTCTGTCTGTCTGTCTGTCCATCTGTCAGTCCGGCAAATCAGTTTTCCAGACTTTTTTTCTTCGTGCTTGAAGATGTTGATTTGATATTTGGTTTATTGATTTATCATGACAAGTTACAGGTCAAGTTCAATTTTCACAATTTTAGCTTTTCTCTTTGTTCTTTCCCTAGAATTAAATTTTTGAGGGAAATAACTCTTTTTTTCCTTTTCTTTGGTAAATTGTTGTAGAATTTAGTGGTAGGTTTGTTGTCATTCTTGAAGATATTGATTTGATAATTAGTATAAAGTTTTATCATGACAAGTTACAGATCAAGTTGGAATTTTGTTCCAGTCTGATAATTTTGTGCAGAGTTATGGTCTTTTGACATAGAAAATTCACTTTAATAATCAGATTTCAACAGTTTTTTTCGTCATGCTTGAAGATTTTGACTTGATATTTTTTAATTGTTTATTTTAGACTTTTTGTAATTTGGATATATGTTTTAGTATGTTATAAATCAAATATAAGAATTTGAATCAAATCGGTGAACATGAATTTGACAGCTAATGCCCCGTTAAAAGGCTAGGAATATGTTTACACCTTCATGCCTAAATTCCTCGTCAGAATATTTAGATGAATATGTCAATATTTATGTCAGCAACATTTTATGACATAGAAATTTGAATGTACATTTGTGACTTGATTTCTATTTAACTGATATGAAAGATGTACGGGCAATACCTCTTTCAAATTAAAAAAATGAGTATGGATCCAAATTTTTTGCTGGAGTTATTGTCCTTGGACAAATAAAATGTGCTGTTGCAGGGGACATTCGAATGCTGTTCTTTCAGTAAAATAATACATAAGTCATGTCTTTTCAGTGTAGAAGATGATGAAATTGTTGAGTGTGACAACTGTGGAGTATCTGTTCATGAAGGTAATAGATATACATGTATATATACATATTTAGATATTTTTTTTATGGCTGTTACATTTTGAATTGTAGCAAAGACTAATCTGGTAAACTTTGTTAGGCATGTTTTCAAAAATCATAAGTTTAAGTACAGTGATATCATGAGAAATGACATTCTATACATAAATAAAATACAAAAATAAGTAAGCAATGAACGAGGTTGTTAAATGTGATATATGCTTTTTTATGCTTCTTTGTTAAATATTTGTTTGTTTTTGTTGTGATTAAGATTGTGACACGGTGTTGACTGCTGTACCCCTATTTTGACATTTTTACCTATTATGTCTGTTTGTTTTATTCACGCATCGTTGTCAATATAATGGAATTTGATGCGACTGTCATACAAGTGAGAGGTTTAGCGCTATAAAACCAGGTTCAATCCGCCATTTTCTACATAAGAAAAATGCCTGTACCAAGTCAGGAATATGACAGTTGTTGTCCATTCGTTTGATGTGTTTGTGCTTTTGATTTTGCCATTTGATTAGGGACTTTCCGTTTTAAATTTTCCTCGGAGTTCAGTATTTTTGTGATTTAACTTTTTATTCTAAGGAGATTGCTTTATCAACCTTTTTAGTTGTAAAATTTTGTACTGATAACAACAAAGCCTGCTTTATTATCAAACTTTCAATATTATACAAGTACTATATGTACCATGGTGCTTACAAGTGAACATATTTAAACAAACGAATCTGAATACTTACTTTCTCTTTAGATTCTGGTTGGGTTTTATGTAAAGTTATGCACGTTGCTTGAGTTATATACAATTACATTCTGATGATAATACATACATGGCTATAGGATGGAAAAGATTTTCAATATAGATGAAAAATATCAATTATGAATTCTATTTTAAAGCTTTATAAGTTAAAAACTTTATTTTGATTGCATTGGGATGTCATGTAGCAGTAACCAAATACTCGCATAGATGATTAATTTCAGGTTGCTATGGTATCAGTGAGAATCAGTCAACATGCAGTACAGTGTCGTCTGCTAGTACAGAACCATGGTTTTGTGATGCTTGTAAAGCTGGATGTAATCCAGTAAGTCTGTAGAACTGTTATTTTGTTAGGCGTACAAATCAAAATTGTTTTCCCATACCATCTTATCCTAAGGGAACTATAGGTTTGCACTCTGTTTGTCCATCTGTCTATCTGAAAAAAAATTCTGTACTTCCTTTCTTTTTTTTTTTAGATATTTGGTATATTCAAAAAGTTACTGTTATTATTTCGACTTAGTGATTTTTGATGAAGTTGTGGATCTAGAACAAAAAAAACCACTTGAAAATATTAGTTTTTCACACTTTTTTCTATAATGCCTGAATTAATTGCTATGATATTTTATAGTATAAAGTCATAACATAAGAAGGTAATGAACAAGTTTGAGTTCTTTCATGTTGAGTGATTTTTATACGCCCATTTACGGGACGTATTATGGTATACCGTTGACCGTCTGTCCATCTGTCTGTCCGTCGTCAACATGTCGGACATTAACTCAAAAACGCTTTAATCAATATGCATGAAACTTTGGTGAATTGTTTATATCTATTGACGTGAGCTCCCTTTCGTTTTTTATAAATTTTGGATTTACGGTTTTTGAGTTTTGGGGTTTATTCATTAAAAAAGGAGGGATTTTCCATGAAACTTGGGTGAATTGTTTATTTCTATCGACATGAGCTCCCTTTTGATTTTTATAAATTTTAGACCATACTTTTCCGATTTATGGAGTTTTATTCATTAGAAAAAGGGGGATTTTCCAGTTTTCGGACAATAACTCAATATGAAACTTTGGTGAATTGTTTACATGTATATCTATTCAGTATTGATGTAAGCTCCCTTTAGAATTTTATAAATTTAAGATTTTACATTTTCGAGTTATGGGGTTTTATTCATTAAAATAGGGGGGATTTTCCAGTTTTTGGACAATTACTCAAAAACATTTTCTCCAATTTGCAAGAAACTTTGGTGAATTGTTTATTTCTAATGACATGAGCTCCCTTTTGATTTTTTAAAATTTTAGACTATACGTTTCTGATTTATGGTTTTTTTTTATACGACCGCAAAAAAATTTTGTGGTCGTATATTGGTATGACGTTGGCGTCGTCGTCGTCGTCGTCGTCGTCGTCCGGCGTCGTCGTCCGAAGACACATTGGTTTTTCGCACTCTAACTTTAGTTTAAGTGAATGGATCTTTTTGAATTTGACCATAAGGTTAAATACCACAAAAGGAAGGTTGGCTCAAACCGTTTAGGAATTAGGGGCAAAAAAGGGGGAAAAACAAGGTTGTCCTGGTTAATGGACAAATACTTTAGTACAAAACATAATTTAAAGCAGTGTAAGGGAGATAAATCAAATACATCATTGAAATTATCTCCCTTACACTGCTTTTAAATTATGTATAAAGTAATGGTTAATGAACAATAAAGATAATCTAAAACAGTGTAAGGGAGGTAATCCAAATACAACGTTTTGGTTACTTCCCTTACACTGTTTTTAAATTATGTTTAAAGAAATGCATATTTATAAAGGAAGACCAGTAAAAATATCTGCAAATGTTGCATCTTTTTTTTTTTACAAAAAATCCATATGAAAGATTTGACACTATATTTTTATTAATTCTATTATAAAATAGATTAAGTTAGCACTATGGTAAATTTAAATGGGTAATTATGGTTGCCGACTCCATTGGAAATTTGAATTGAGATTATGACCATATCTTGAGGGAAAGAATTTTTTGGGGGGAAAAAGGGGGGGGGGGGGGATAAAAAGAAATTGTGGGGGGCCAATTTTTTCTCATTTCAGATTTCAGAAATTAAAAAGAATTATTCTTCAAATATTATTTTTTTTTCAAATTTCAAATATTGAAAAATTTCAAGAAGTAATCTTTAATTGCACAGTATGGCGCATTAGATTTGTAAAATCTTTGATCACATTTAATTATTTGTTATGCCGAATCTAACAGTGTATTTAGATTTTTAATTTTGGGTCCAGTTTTCAAATTGGTCTACATTAAGGTCCAAAGGGTCCAAAATTAAACTTTGTTTGATTTTAGCAAAAATTGAATATATGAGGTTCTTTGATATGCTGAATCTAAACATGTATTTAGATTTTTGATTTTTGGCCCAGTTTTCAAGTTGGTCCAAATTGGGGTCCAAAATTAAACTTTGTTTGATTTCAACAAAAATTGAATATATGGGGTTCTTTGATATGCTGAATCTTACCATGTATTTAGATTTTTTATTTGTGGACCCCGTTATCAAATTGGTTCATATTGAGGTCAAAAGGGTCCAAAATTAAACTTTGTTTGATTCATCTAAAATTGAATTATTGGGGTTCTTTGATATTCCAAATCTAACCATGTATTTAGATTTTTAATTTTGGGTCCTGTTTTTTAAATTGGTCTACATTAAGGTCCAAAGGGTCCAAAATTAAACTTAGTTTGATTTTAACAAAAATTGAATTCTTGGGGTTCTTTGATATGCTGAATCTAAACATGTGTTTAGATTTTTGATTATGGGCCCAGTTTTCAAGTTGGTCCAAGATAGGGTCCAGTATTTAAACTTTGTTTGATTTCAACAAAAATTGAATATATGGGGTTCTTTGATATGCTGAATCTAAACATGTATTTAGATTTTTGATTATGGGCCCAGTTTTCAAGTTGGTCCAAATTGGGGTCCAAAATTAAACTTTGTTTGATTTCAACAAAAATTGAATATATGAGGTTCTTTGATATGCTGAATCTAACCATGTATTTAGATTTTTTATTTGTAGGCCCCGCTATCAAATTGGTTCATATTGAGGTCAAAAGGGTCCAAAATTAAACTTTGTTTGATTTCATCAAAAATTGAATTATTGGGGTTCTTTGATATGCCAAATCTAACCGTGTTTTTAGATTTTTAATTTGGGTCCCGTTTTTTAAATTGGTCTTCATTGAGGTCCAAAGGGTCCAAAATTAAACTTAAATTGATTTTAACAAAAATTGAATTCTTGGGGTTCTTTGATATGCTGAATCTAAACATGTGTTTAGATTTTTGATTATGGGCCCAGTTTTCAAGTTTGTCCAAGTTGGGGTCCAAAATTAAACTTTGTTTGATTTTAACAAAAATTGAATATATGGGGTTCTTTGATATGCTGAATCTAACCATGAATTTAGATTTTTTATTTGTGGGCCCCACTATCAAATTGGTTCATATTGAGGTCAAAAGGGTCCAAAATTAAACTTTGTTTGATTTTATCAAAAATTGAATTATTGGGGTTCTTTGATATTCCAAATCTAACCGTGTATTTAGATTTTTAATTTTAAGTCCCGTTTTTTAAATTGGTCTACATTAAGGTCCAAAGGGTCCAAAATTAAACTTAATTTGATTTTAGCAAAAATTGAATTCTTGGGGTTCTTTGATATGCTGAATCTAAACATGTGTTTAGATTTTTGATTATGGGCCCAGTTTTCAAGTTTGTCCAAGTTGGGGTCCAAAATTAAACTTTGTTTGATTTTAACAAAAATTGAATATATGGGGTTCTTTGATATGCTGAATCTAACCATGTATTTTGATTTTGGACATTGGACCATAATAGGTAAATTAAAAAAATTCAAGTTCTTAGACCACATTCTTTCTGTGTCAGAAACCTATGCTGTGTCAAATATTTAATAACAATCCAAATTCAGAGCTGTATCAAGCTTGAATGTTGTGTCCATACTTGCCCCAACTGTTCAGGGTTCGACCTCTGCGGTCGTATCAAGCTGCGCCCCAGCGAAGCATTTTATTTCATTAGAAAAAGGGGGATTTTCCAGTTTTCGGACAATAACTCAAAAATGCTTTCAGCATTTTTTATGAAACTTTGGTAAATTGTTTATATCTATTGTTGTAAGCTCCGTTTTGATTTTTATAAATTTAAGATTTTACGTTTCTGAGTTATAAGATTTTATTCATAAAAAGGGTTGATTTTCAAGTTTTTGGACAATATCCTTAAAGTGCTTAGAGCAGTTTTCATTAAACCTTGATGACTGATTTATATCTATTAAGATAACCTCCCTTTAGTTTTTTTTTATAAATTTCTGATATAACATTGAGAAGTTATTGTTTGTCTATAGTCTGACAACAGATTTGCTAAGTATTGCACAACAGCACAGTGTATTGCACAACAGCAAGAAATCTTTAATTAAATATGAATTCAATTCATATAACCAATTTCAAGTTCTTTGACTACATTTATTCAGAAACCTATAATATGTCAAATATTTAATTACAATCCAAATTCAGACCTGTATCAAGCTTGAATATTGTGTCTATTTTTGCCCCAACTGTTCAGGGTTGGACCTCTGCGGGCGTATCCAGCTGCGCTCAGCGAAGCAGTTTATTGCTGAAGTTGTAGCCATTGGACATAGAAAATTACTTGAACAACAGTTTTCTGCACTTTTATCCATAATGCTTGAATCAATCAAGTAGATATTTAGTATATAGTCATATCATAAGTTACAGATCAAATCAGTTATTCTGTTATTGTTTGTCTTTTTTGTTTCTGTCCTATGGGAGTAAAAGAAATTTAATTATAGTATTTTGAAGGTTAAGGACACTTCAGTTGAATTTTTTATGATTTCGTTTTATTGTTGCAAAGTTTTTAAATGGCCATAAATTAATCAGTTCATGGTTTCTTTCGATAACTTTAGTTTCCATTTCTTTATTATAATATGATTGATATCTGTGGAATAGTTGACATGTGCTTTTGGATACATTTCCATTTTCAGACATGTGAACTCTGTCCTAACCCTGGAGGTATCTTTAAAGAAACAGATGCTGGAAAGTAAGTTTTATAGAAATGCTGTATATTATCTTGTATGAATTGGAAAAAAAATAATGACTAGATATACTTGGATAAAATGTTCTTCATTGAAACACCTCATGATTTTGAAAACTATTCATATTCTGCTCAATCAGCATATGGCAAGTCTAATTTTATACAGGTCTCTATCAAATTTTCCTATTTGATTGTATCACTTTGAAAACTGTAAATACCTAGTAAGATACGTTCGGCCAAAGAAATATATGCATGTTAAGGGTTTTGTTTGAAAATTATGGTGTCAGTACCTAAAATTTAGTGGTGAAGCTCAAAATTAGGGTCAATCTGAGAATCCTTTTACACATATGATTTTTTTAACCTTATCTTTTGACACAAGACATTTCATGGGTGTTTAGTAAAATGCGTTGAACAGTAAACAAAGCTCAAAGTAAAATAAACAAACAAAAATAGGAAGCTTCAGTACATGTTATACTTCTTAACTTTCATAATTATGAACATAACAAAGAAAAAAGTAACATTTACAATATGTGAATGTTTGTGAAATGAACAGGAGGTATGATAACAGCCATTATTTGGCACTTGGAAATTGCAAAAAATACTGCAATTCTTCAAGCTTTTCATTGTTGTGTCAATTCTTTTGATAAATGAATAGGATGATTTGATTTGGACACTTTAGTACAGAAATGTCACTTCTGATGTCGTTATAATGTCAAAAACTTGCCAAATGTGACGATGAACCTGTAGATGCCATTTTGAACATTGTTTTTTTGACAAATAAGATATAAACCAAGGCTTACTCAAAAAGACAATTTACTCTTTCAATAACATTTCATTTAGCAAAAAATCTTTTTTGGGTGAGATCTTGGCTCATATCTAAATATCTAATGACAAGGGAAACTATATTTGGGAGTTTTGTATATAATGGAATGGAAGAAGTTTGAAGTGCTTATTCTTGCTGTTATTAAAATATGTAAGACAAAATTTAAAAAAACATAATCTTGATGTGACAGATTTCTTATGAATGTGTGAAGATTAATACTTTTTGATTTTCAAATACAAGGTGCCAAAAAAGTGGGTGTAATATCTTGTCATATCTTCTTCTTTTCACATTGAATCTATATCCCAATATGAAAGATTTTTCTAACCTTTAAATACTCTATAGAAATGAAGTGTTTATTTATTTCAGATGGGTTCACCTTGTATGTGCTTTATATACTCCTGGTGTTGCCTTTGGTGATGTGGATAAACTCAGTCCAGTTACATTGTTTGAGATGTCCTATTCCAGATGGGGTGCCAGGGTAAATATCAAAGAATAAAAATATACCAAAAATGATCAATTGATTGATTGTTGTTTGCCTTGCATGCAGAATCTCAAACCCTGTTGATTTTATATCTGTTCATATTTTTATATGGTAAAGATTTAAGCATTCCAATGTATGTTAGGCTTATCCTAGAGGCTCTCTGGTCCAAGGACGGGAAGTTCTTATTCTTGTAGCAAAATTGATCTCAATATAAAGAACATATCAATATTTATACATAAACTGACAAATTCATGAATGTTCATGTCCCTAATTAAAAGGATTTGCATTTATAAATGTGCTTATTCGTAATATATATTACCAACGTTATATTTAAAGTGGTTTCATAAACCATCATATCTCTTTTTGAGGGATTTTTCTCGGTAACCATTAATGACTTAAAAATATAAGATCCCTAAAAATCCATAAATTGTTATGTCCCTAATCAAAAACATGAATTTCTATCAGAAATTAACGAACAGATACTAAAAATTCATTTATTTATGTGGGTACTAATTTCTGTGAATGGATGAAAAAAATGAAATTTTGTGGATATATGATTTTAGTGGATTTACCGAGGATTTCATACAAAAAAATTTAAAGTATAAAATTCATAGTTTTCTTATACCCATGAAATCAATGAAAATTAGTTTCCCATGAATAATAATGAATCAACAGTAATAATTGTGATTGTTATTTTCTTCCTAGGACTGTACTCTTTGTGAAGACACTAGATTCAGCAGAACAGGTGTCTGTATAAGCTGTGATGCAGGAATGTGTAGGACATATTTTCATGTCACATGGTAAGACCAGGATGCAATGTTTACATATATATTTTAAAGCCTACAAGTTTATCTCTTTAACATACAGTCTGAGAAACATTACCTTGTGCAACAGCTTATTCACAAATTTTTATAATTTTAGAATGGATACATGTTGATTTATGTTATTTTCCATTTACTTAAATCATTCTGCAAAAACATTTTTTTTGTCAACCAACTGCATAAAGTACAAATTAGAAACTGTTCTTATTGTATTTTTATTTCAGTGCTCAGAAAGAAGGTTTATTATCAGAGGCTGCACCAGACGAATGTATGGTAAATAACATTTTTTGATCCATAGTCTTTAATGGTACAGAATGCTAAAAGGTCTGTTCCATGATTAGCTTTATTTTACTTTTACAAGAATTGATAAATTGAATGTATTTAAAATGCATTGTATCTGCTGTTTGTCAAATTCTGCAATTTTACTATTGAAATTTCATATAAACATATTTTGAATTTTAATGAACATTCTGACACCACAAAAAACAAAGCCATCAAATACACAACTAATCACCAGATGTCAGTGAATTACTTTTACTTAATCTTAATTGATAAACCAAGGTTTGAAAAGTAATTTTGGTAAGAATTTAGTTTGTTAATTTTAGAAATACTTTTTTGAACTCAAAATTTTCAAAAGTATGAATAGGACTGTAACACAAGTTGTTCAGGTGTTGTGATTGATATGTAGATGTTCATATTAATTTTTGGGAAAATTAAGGTGGAAAAAAATATGTAGAACATGATATCCTGAATAAGTTCCTAGTGTCAAAATTTAACTGTCAGTTGCTATTTTAAAAATGGCTACCAAAATATATACCGGTAAGCATTAAAAAGTGCTCCGACTTCAAAGAAATTTGACATCTAGGTAAAACATGAATTGATTTCTGGTGTGAAAAAAATA